GATCCTCGTCAAGTACCAAAATCTACCTAGGTACCTCCTCCACCACTTGCTCCCCTAAGTAACTCCTGTACGTTCACTTGCTTTCATATGGACTATACGTGCTCGTGCTCGAAACCGAGGTGTTTGAATACATGCCACTGTGTATCATACCTAGATAGGTTTCTATCTTTAAATTCGCTTAGAGGGAAGTCCTATCCATGCGCAGCTGTTTGCTTCATTGCCGTATCGATTGTGTGTCGAATTCCAAGAATGATCGGCGTTTGGCTATGATGTTTGGAATCTAGCCCTTCAATCCGTAGCCGTCTATGTAGGGGAGACCTATTAGCCAAGATAGGGACTAGAACAAGAGCACAAAACCGGTTTTCTTGTATGTATGTACCAGGAGTCATCAGAAACTACGTTGAGGGCTCCTCACGTTAAAATCCTTGTTTTGCATCGGTGGGTTCGCATCATGATATATGAGAATGATTTATACGTGGACGTCTCAGCGGCACGTGACTCCGAATATAATAGATCCGCTGTATTCTCGATTATCCTTCAATTTAGAACCTTCTAGCAGTGGCAGACGAATTATCAGGTTATAAGGAGGCCCGTGAGGTGGGTCGGAGTAAAGAGTGAATAGTATGTGAAGCGGTGTCGTAAGTAAGAGGTATGGATGACAATGAACGCTTGGCCTCTCAACCATGTATCCAGGGCCTATGCCCCTTTCATAAACTCGCAAGAGGCTTCCAGGTGCATTGCCACTAATTTTCACAAAGTTCATAACACGAGTAACCTTAGCCTCACACCGTCAAGTAGCTTGCACAAAGCAACTCAATGTAAAGAGGCACATAACTAGGTCTTGCGAGGCGATGAATGCATATGTTGACCCCTCGCCCCCTGAACATCACTATGTGTTGGTAAAACCGGGCTCCTAGTCTCTGACACCTGTATAGGACAGTATATAGCTGGAGAGAGAGACGTCGGGGATAGTCTCTTCGTCCTCACTCTAGGGATATATCTGGATCATAGTAGCTGTTAGGTTCTTCGTGCAACAACATTGTCATTTCCTTATTGTTTGGTTGGCCTCGTGATATATAGTTTTGTGTCAACCTAGCCTATACATTATGATAATTTTCAAACCCAAGTCCTCTAGAATGTTTGGCTTAAGATGATGTACCTAGTATATTCAGGGGTACTCAGGGGTATTCAACAGATGACTATGTTCGTTCTTCATCATTAGAAAGGAGAGGCCTCACATCTAGGTAATTACTTGTGCAGGAACCCTGACCCTCGTAACTCCAAGAACGTGATATTATCAACTTGTCTAAACAACACTATAAAAGAAACCTGTTATCATTTCTCGCGAAAATCAATTACTATTACTACTACTACCTAATCTATAACTAAAACAAGGCCCCTGTAATGCGACTCTCTAATGCGCATGTCAAATGAAACCCCTATACCCGACGTCCTGTGCCAATTTAACTACTACCTCAACCATCAAAAGGCTGCCCTCCTGTCCATAGTTCGGGCGTCGAAGCTTCGTGAAAGGTGGATGGTGGGTAACGACCTTGACACAAGTTTCAGAACTTGTAGGTCATGTAGTCGTAAATGCCCGGCGGTCCCAGTGCACGTTCGAGGGTTTGGACGACGCACCTCCGCTTCACCATTTCCCAATCTATTTTCCGTGCGGATAGGTTTATGGCGGTGGAAGACTTGTCCTCATCGTAGATCGCCCGAAATGTCACAGTGACTGGCTCATCCCCTGGCGCAATCCCGATAACCATCGTCTCTTCCTTGAACACAGGCTGCATGATGCCTCGAGAGTCGAGTACCCGGTTGAGATCGAGCTGCGCAAAGCTCTCGTATGATTTTGACTCATTTCCGATTGGTGGGAAGCCGGACGTGATGGCAGTCTGGATGTTGTAACATGCGTGGCACATGTCGTCGGCAGACTCTAGACCCTCGTCGCTGATCTCCAAGTCCATGGGTTCCTCTAGCGGAGATAGACTGGTGGATTCGTAACGCCCGCAGCTATTGAATGGCGCCAGGCGGATCGAGCGCAGCGCAGGGAAAAACTTTCTCAAGAGGTGCCAGACGAGCCTAAAATCGTGGTGAAAGACCACCTCCTTATGGTCGAACTCGACTGGGTGGTCTATCCCGTCATCGCTCCACGGCCCCGTCGTCAAACAGAAATCAGGCACCGCAGGCGCCAACTCGGGAATCGTGAGGTGGCGCAGCAGACGCATGTCTGCCATCCAGAAGGATGTCGACAGTGGGCAGTGGAGGGGGAAAATCAGCCTGTCCAGATCAAAATTGAAAAGGACATTCGATTGGCCTTCATGTTTGTCATATCCCCTTGTCAACGTCAAACACAGTTTGTACCGTCTCGTTGTCTCATCGCGAGATTCCCGGTTGATCCACATAGACACAGGAAGACGAGTTGTGGCGCGAGTGACGGTGACTTTAAGAACAGAAGTTAGTAAGTTAGTAAATAGAAAGAGTTTATGTGCTCAAACACAGCCCCGAAACAAGCTGAAAAGAAGGAGAAGAAGAAAAGAATCTCGAATGTACATACTGAAATGGTGCGGCATATATAGGAACTCTTCCAATTTCTCTTCTGATTCGTGATTGTTGTATGGCGCAACATCCCACCAGTGCTTGGCTATCTGGACGTGTTTCACCCGAAGAGCTTGAGCCCCATCGAAGACTCCGTCGTTGAGGTCAGATTCCCCGGTCGCCATGTCAAGGTTGGCCATGAGAGCCCGAACGATCTTAACATCCCGAGGTTCCCAAGTTTCACGCCAAATCTTACGGCGTAGTTCCGGAGGAAGCTTCGCGAACTGGGGGAAGGCGGGTGGTGGTGAGATGGCCAGATTAGCAAGCCGGTCGCATAGGTCGCCACAGTTGGTGACGAGCTTTGCAGGCTGATTGAGGCGACAGGGAGGGATTTCAGGGTTTCGGATGATTATCTGCTCCTGAGGCAGACTAGGCTTGTTGGCGGACTGTTGTTGTCTTTTTGCCGGAGGACCATCATCACCGGCATCATCCTCGACATGTTGTCGTTTGGTGCCAACAGGTTGCTGTTCCAGTGACGGGCCCATCTTGTATTAAGACTAATCGATGCATATGATCGGAAGCGTCTAGCCTGTAGGTTTAATTTGTCAGAGCTGGAACATAGGTATCTTAATAGACTGGAAAGCCTTACTGTTAGGAACCTGGAAGTAAGGTTAACTTGGTTGTGCGATCACTATCTGGTGCTGAATGAAGATGGGATGATCGGAACTTCAAAAGCTTAAACTCAAAAGGCAGCGTGTGGGAAAAAAAGAATGTGTTCAGTGGAGAGGGACAAATTCTTATATAATGGTGTTGTTCCGCCTGAGGTCGAAATGTCTAAGCGCCGACACCTTAGGAAATGCTTGGCAGTTGATACCTGGCTGGCCGGAACCTGAAAATTTCTCAAAGAGGAAATGCATTTGACACCTTCGTCGAATAAGTCCGTGAGCAAATTCATGGAACGCACTTTCCTTAGTTGACTGGTAAGATTAAACTTAGTACCTGAGGTGTCAAGTATGAAAGACCAAGCACCAACCACTATGAACAATCGCCGGTGCCCTTATATTAGCCACCCAAAAGCTTTCACAATGTTTTGGCAGGATTGTATATAGCACAGTATGGTCCAAACTGGATCACCTTGGAGTTAATATAATACCTTAGGTATGAAAATGAATTATAGCAAAATTGCTTTTCACGATTTAGGACAAGGCAATGTTGAACTGATATACCTACCTAGGTAGGTTTACTTAGATGTATGCTGGCTACCTGTAGGCAGTGTTTTCTGCCAAATTAACAAACTATCTAAAAAGAACCATTCCCCAGACCAAATCCCATTCTACCTACACCCTTATGTAGCTTGACAAACATCAACAAACGCTGTAGAAGTAACAGAGTTGCTTGCAAGCCCCCACTACAGACATCATCCTAACCTACCTACCTAACACAAGACACTTCCACGGCAGTCTATTGCAAAAATTAAGAATATTGAATTGCTTCACTATCCAAAGCATCATTAGGAGCCGAAGAGTCCACCAGCCCATATTGCGGCCGAAACAGCCAAGTCCTACCTCTAACCGAGAAACCTCCAAGCTCTCATCATCCCAACTCTCTCCTTCGGCCACTCAAAGCTCGACCGTGATCACGCCTTTCCCGCCGCAGTTTCTTCCTTATGGGATCCCAAACCCTTACCAACTTGGCTGCTTCAGGAAATCACTGGCAGAAGACCGTTCTATAATCGTCTTAGCGGAGCCCTAGTGCATCTTGAGCACGAGCAGCTCAAACACAGACGGGTCGAACGGGTGGGGGGGGGGCATCGTGGCGTTGCCGATAGCTTCAAACGGAACATGCGAGACGAGGGCCTCAGAGAACCGCTGCCGCCGGGAGGGCAGATCCGTTACCTTGCCCTCGTGTCGTGCTTTGGTACATAGTTATTACTTTAGACATATAGACCGAGTAAAACTCGGCCCGGAGTGGGTTAACTTCGTAGTTTTATAGATGATCGAAGCTTACAAGGTCGTTTTTTCGAAGCCGTTTCCATTATCATCGTAGGTTCTCTAGACTAAAGCCACGTAAGGTGATTCAGTGATGGAATTAAGTTGGACTTGGTTGATTGCGCTTTGATTCTGGATATGTTCGCCAATCTACTAAACCCGCCAAAGTCTCGATGTCTTCGCTTATCGTAACTATAATAGCATGTTTTGGTACATTAGCAGAATGTTATAATATCGAGTAGATAACCAAAAAGGAGACTAAGTGGTACTTGGGAAGGTGGAAAGTGCATCACTGAAAAAAGGGGGTGAGGATGTGGCGGGTTCTTGTATGGTTATTTCTAGCTTGCGTGTTTTTCCTGCGAGCGCCTTTCAAAGAAAGCCAAGTGACTTTGAGAAATATTTGGAGTCAAAAATATAGATAAGGGGGAGTTACAGAAATACTCAGGAAGAAAAAAAAACACAAAATAATATTGCTGCGGGCCAGATTCGAACTGGCATCTCAGTTGAGCAGGTTATCTGCTAGCATCCACTAAAGCTGCTCGCTGTGGCTGGCACCCACAGTTTCTGTGGTGTCTGGCATCCGCGTTTTGCAGATTTAGTGAATGCTCCAGGCCTCTTTTCAGTGTCATTACCATTAGACCACCGCAGCTTGTATTATTAAAAATTAGAACATTAATTTTGATACATAAGCCTTTGGTTGGGAAGGTACCTCAGGCCGGCTGTTGCTCGGGAGACGAGCTACTGCCAGCTGCCAGGTGTAGGGACACAATGACACCTACGTGTCGAATCTACACCTGTAAGACAGTCCACGGTTGACACAGCCTAGCCCCTATTACACATAATCTGCTAAAAGATATTGCTCTGCCTTGTCTAGGGACCTCCCAATGAGAGAAAGCTGTTCGATGAAGATGTACCCCATATCGCTGTGTCCCACCTTCAGCTTATCTTCTTATTCGTGTGACACTAATATGGAGAGTCGGAACGTCACTCCTTTATACAGCATCGATTGTGATGTAGTAATCTGGGCGTTCTTACGTTTCTAAGTGGATATAAGATAATTGGCAAGCCAAATACACAGGACATCATCATGTTTAAGGGTAAAATCTACAATTTATTGACTAGGCCTAGATACCATCGATAACATCTGATAGCTAAGGCAGGAAGCGCATGTTTTATCGAAACTCGGCGTAGAATCTATCGTCTCACGATGTCACGGTGAAAATCTTCAGTATCACATAGCTTCGCTGCTCTCACTAGGCGGGCAATATACTAGGAAGGCTTTGAACGGTACTTTATAAGTTTAATTACGCTTCGTGGAGCCCGCTCGCAAAAATTAGATGATTGGAATCAAATACAAAGAAACAATTTAGCAATGTGAGAGATTTAGAAGATTGTAATCCTAATGTATATTAGCCACGACCCACTAAAGCAAGAGAGACAGGTAATAATCATCATAAGACCATCCCAAGTGTCCTCCAAATCTTGCTAATGATATGTAGTCCTTGTCGATATGGTGAGAATAATGGCCGAGTGAAACTTGCGGTATTAAGAATCTAAGAGAAAACTAATGTCTACATTGGCAACCTTCTCCATACATTATCTTGTGACTCGGTTCTCTGACGCTTTGGGGCCGAAGGGCCATCGTTTTAAATGCAAGATAGATGGTCAGCCGAAGGTAACTTTTAGTACGGTCAAGCTGATTGTTCGCGAATATTTCTGGACTGATTTCAAAGGTCGTTGTGATGAAGTCCTTTTCGAATACAACGCCCAGACATTTCTCCTGCCTCCGGAGGCTAATGACGGTCCCCATCGTATTCCTTAGTCTGGGATTCCCATTTCGTGTCTGTATTGCGGCTACCCACCCTCATGAAACCATGCGAGAGAGCTTCAATCTAGTATGTCATTTCCGTAAATGATCTCTCCGGTAACTTCGTCCTTAAGCCAAATCACAAAGCCGTGATTTCTTGGCTCTGTCTTTCTCACTGTTTTCCTCACTGCTATGGATTTCAGAGCTCGACGTAGTAGTATCCTGGGTAGCCAGCGGGGACCACTGGCGTCGAGCAAATTAGAATCATTGGCATAGCTGCCATGCTAAGTTTTGCGTCGCCATTGACTTGTAACTATTATGGAAGAGTTAGTTCTTATACACGAAAAGGATAGGCTAGAGAGGGTCCTTACAATAGAACCGATTTCGAGGAACGACGTGTTTGTAAATCGGCGATGGACTCGGTTCTGAACCATATGAACTTGTTGATGAGGCCGACCGACGGCCGAGAGAGAGTGAAGGACTCGGTTAGGAATCAGATGGACTTGCTACTGAGGACCCAATTGTCAGGTAACCCACAGAGGCTGAGACAGGTCGCTGTGCCTCTTGTGCCTCTGGATGGCTATTCGGGTCGATCAAGGCTCGGCTCGCGCAAGGAAAACACCCTTTCTCCCTGCCCAATCCACCCCAAGCATTTCCTGCTCCCACTGCAACAGGTACTCGACACGGTCCAGGTGAACTACTACGTTGTCAGGAGCCAGGGACGGAATGGTAGGTGTCGCAAATGGTCCTCGGCGGGAGGTTGGTTGGTCCCACGTGGGAGTCGAATCTGAGAGCGAGCCAACACCCTGGAGTCTTCTCAAGTTGTTCCAGTCGTTCGAACACCGGCACCACACAACGGCAGGCCTTGCCGAGCTCAAGAATGTACAGCGTAAGGATGTAATGGTAGTCTTCCTGATCCGCCGGTCTCCGACATGCGTCGGTGTATTCGAGATCTCGATACCTGTATTGTCGCTGAGAGTCGGTTATCATCTTGGACGATTGGTTTAAAACGGCTAGAATCCTTCGTAACGCTGATGAATATGCTTGTAGTCTTCTTTTGAAGTTTGGTCTGAACGAAATCGTCGCCTGCAGCACCTCTTACACAATCCATAATCTACTCCAATAGAGACAACTGAAACCTTCGCACTACTTTGCTGTGAGCTCCATGTCGCCTAGGAATGTAGCGTCTTCTTTAGGCGTAAGCTCCTTCAGCAAGTCGTCATTGCAGATTTCGACCAGGAATTGCCAGGTCGAGATGGTGGGCTTGTCATGGGAGAGCCAATATACAGCTCCTGCCACAAAATCCAATGTGAGTTCTGTGGAGAATACATCGAAGGCGGACGGGTATCCTTGAAGTACTTTGTTTCCGACCAAGGAAAAGAATCCGGCGAGTTTCTGTGGTCTCGATAAATGGTCTACCGACCCGTGTACGTCCAAGTCAAAAGCGGTCCGGTCCCATTAGAACCGGTGGTAGGCCGTTTCAAATAACCGTTCCAACAAACTATATCCGGTGGTATGAGCTTTGACTAGTCTCCCCAAGCTACAGCCTTTGCTTCATCGCTGCTGTTGTATCAACCCTGGCTACTTTCAAAGCGTGGATTCGGTTATCGTAGGGAGAAAAAGGAGTAAGGTGTTTCCGATGGGAATAACCGCTGGTCCACGAGGTGTTTGTTATATGGATGAGTGCATGATAGCAGTTGCGGCAGAAATAGAGACAGTAGGAAGAAAGTCAACATGTTAAGACGTCGAATGAACATGGATTGGTCTCCAATCATTGAAGGTAACTAGTAGAAGTTTGTTAATAGTTCAAGATGGTTCTGTTCGAGTAGAATGGTCAGAGGTGGAGGTAGAGAAAGGAATGTGGTCAATGAAAGAATGACCAAGAAACTAGAAAATGTGGGATTGCATTACGACACATTGGAATCGGAAGGTGTCAGTGGGATAGCTGCTGCCAAATGTAATACTGCTAACCTACTAAGCAACCGACTAAGCAACCTACTAAAATTTAGAGTAATGGCTGTTAGTACATCTGATAGTCTGAAGATAAAGAAGTTGCTCTAATGCGTTAATGCGTGTAGATATATACAGCCCCTGAAGGCGCAAATCGTCGATACACCTAGTCTACCAACTCCATCCGCATACGTTCCCCTTTCATATATCAAGGTCCCAAAGGCGTTTCGCAGCTAAACTCAGACAAACCAGCAAACAGGGGAAACGAATTGCCCACGCTTTGGTACCGGTTCAGCGACAGGAAACTTGCCAAATCAGTCCTGACACACCCGCTCTGTCCGTGAATATGCTGCGCAGCATTATGCCGACCCACCGCAGGATGAAGCCCGGCACGCCGCTGAACACACTTGTCGTTGGACTGTCCGTGATCACGCCTAGGTACCCGCTTGCCAACGTCTTGAACTCGTCATCTCCCTTGGCTGCGATGACCTCCGCGACGCCGCCACCTTGGCTGTGGCCCATAGTTACGAAGTTTTTATCGAGATGGTCGGGAAACGCTTCGAGGCATGCCTGCATGGCGTACAGCGCGTCGTGCGCCGATGCCGGGGAGAGAAGGTACTGGTGCGGGATCTCTGTGCCGTCCCAGGACTTGGAGATGCCGAGGCCGGCGTAGTCAGGGTCCACTACGGCGTACCCTGCGAGCGCGAGCGTAAAGGGGGCCGCGACGGCATACCAGAGCGCACGATGGGACGACGGAGCGTGTGAGGCAAAGAACCCCGAAGTTCCGTGAGTCCAGAGGACAGCAGGTGCCTTTACTTTTGAGTTTCCGTTGGATTTTGATACTGTTGGACCCTGCGTGAAAGTCTTGGGCGAGTAGGGCCACAGAATGAAACCAGAGGCTGGGACCACCATTATAGTTCGTCGTGGTATATGGAATGCGTGACAAAGCTGTGTTAGGGGGGATAACGAATGAGGTCGTGTTTGTGACGTCCTGCACCTTTAAGAGTGTGCCGGGCTGCAGCGTAGTGGTGTTAGTGAGTGGCGGGAGCTGGTAGAAGCTATCTGCGGGCCCGCCATTGGAGTTGAGAGCGATCGAAGTTGATAACGGTGTTAATTCAAGCTGAGTGTTTTCGATCAGTATATTTTGAATCCGCTTATGACCACCTACTAACTACTACACGAAACAAAGAGACGAGTGACTTTATATAGACCTGAGTATAAGGGGCGTCAGTTGGTCATACCTGGAATCCGTGCATCCATCCCATTGGTCCAACAGCTGTGTAATTGCCTATTCTGGGATTCGATTCGGTGTTGCTAACTAATAATACAGCGATGAAGTGCTTTCGAAGAGCCGCTCACGTAACAATGCTTAGTTGGACCCCGTCCAATTCCAGGGTGGCAACGTGATGTAGTGTATGAGTACCTACCTATATAGTCATCGAGCATGCGGTGGACTTCATTTACCCGACTACATGAGTAATATGACATAGGTTTCGAAGCGACGCCGTGAAATGGTATTCAGTGTCGCACACTCCGCGGCCTAACTACGCAGCTACGTAACAGGATGATTAGCTATGACCAATCATTGTCCACGGCTGATGGATTTTTACACCATATGTTCCTATCCACCTCCTTATCTACCTAGCTTAGATGTAATGAACCAGACTGATAATGTACATGTTAAAATGAGGGCGTGATCCGCTCGCATTAGGGCGCGATTGACAGGCGCGGGGTTGTATATAAGAGACTCTGCACGTCGACCTGGGGAATTCGAGCTCGGGATTCTCTTCCAAAATAAATGCAGGGGCAGAAACGATACAGATCGCATAGACCAGTGTTATAAATTGATCAGATAAGATGTCTGGACTGAAAGAATTTGCGAAACCCCAGTC